GGGGGGGGCCGGGGGGGGGGGGGGTGACTTGCTTTGAACTGCACAACAGTTGTTGCATTCACGGTGTGGACAAACCTGGAATGATAGAGACAGCAAACCAGCTCCAACTTTAACCCTGGCTAGAGCAGTAGCTACATTTGTATCATTCTCAGATCCTCTACAAACTGAGTGTTAGACAATAGCAGCTTCTGCCCCCTTGGGATCAGCAGGTCCCCTTTTGAAACTGCTCCATACCACATACACATACTACTGTATGTGTGCCCGTATCCTTAACAGGTACATTCACACAGGCTGCCTGTTCTGCTACATCATTATAATAAGTAATGTTCCACAGACTTTTTCCTTGGGTGGAGGTAGGAGAAGAGAAATCAAGGAAGAAAGTATTCTTTTCACAAAAATGCCCTTCAGTCATGGAATCAGTGCACCAAAATGGGATCCACAAAACTACGCGTCTTTTTTTTCAGAGGTCACAAAACAAAGAGCAGTCAGCAAACAACCCTGATTACAAAGCCAGGCCTCATCTCCCTCTCCTAGAAGACAGTTAAGTTGCAAAATGGGGCAGAAAAAACCTAAACAAGCAAACAAAACCCAGCACTTCGGGCAGAAACTGGAATAACATCAGCTCTAATACAGGAAATGCACCATTCTAAGACCACTATGGGTGAATGTGCTAAACCTCAGTACTGGGATCTCTCTCCAACCAGCAAAACACATGCTCAGTTGGGAATAAAAAATGAGCAAACGTAAAGCCACACTGCTGTCCAGCAAACAGTTCTGTTGCCAACTGAAGTGTATGATCACATCTGGATCGCCTCATGACAGTATAGCTATTAAAAAGGAGTTAAGCCCTTAATTAAAATTGGTGGAAGTCTGTACTGGTAAGCCTTACTGCTGATTGCATTTGGGAGCTGGTAAAGTTGCTTACATTTGTAATCAGAACATGAGTCTCTGCATATTCCTACTTGTAGGACTAAGACACCTGCAATGAACACTTTCAAAATCTTCTGGAAAGCAGTGTCTTTTGAAGTAACTTACGCCTCCAGTTGCAGCAGGTTCCCAGGTTATAACTAGGGGTGGCTCAAGCCACTCTTCAGCTTTTTCCACTACTTGAGGATTCCTAGCCTGAGACACTGATGTAGGAATATGTGAGCAGGGAGCATGGACAGGTCTTCTTGGGGAGGTCTATATATCCTTGTGTGGGGTTCAGCAGACACCACAACCCAAGGAAAAAGACTGAGAATAGCAAAACTGCCAAACAACCACTAGCTCTGGATCCAGGTCAAGAATTAAAGACATCCGAACTTCTCACTTGCCCAAAACTCTCAAGAAAGAAAAAAGTTTTCTGGCAAAGCAGCAGTAACAGCCTCAGCTTGTATGCAACGAGGAAAACAACCCACCTACATATACACTCCAACAAGTAGATGTTGCTGCTTCTGGTGAAAGTAAATACATGACAGATGAATTTCAGGTAGGTTCAAGGTCACCTAATTTGGCTAGACTGTATAAAGAAAGGAAACAGCCATAAGGGCTTGTAATTTGCCCTGCCTTCTTGTCAATGCAACTACCTTTAAAGACTGTTTGATATCCATTTGATGAAGATCCTGGCCCACCACAGAAAGGAGGAGACACTTGGCACAATTAGCTCAGGTTAATGTGACTATAAAAGTGTTCTGCAAGTTGAGAGGTGAGAGCCAGTTCCTTTGATAAAGGGAGGGCATTACTACTGCCATGACCATCTTGAACTTGAGCTTGCAAATAAAAGCACTGAGCTGTCTTAGGGCCAAGGCTACAGTATTTTCTTACATGCCCCTCTTTCCCCAAACTGGAATGTACACCTTACACAGAGAAGCTTATTTTCTGTTCAGAATAGCAGCACTCTGCTTTGATTCCTGCTCCAAAAATCAGCTGCCCAGCAGTGGCAGTGGTATTACTATCCAGGCAGCTCAGGTAGTCAATCGACTTAATGGCTCATTGTTCTTCAACCCACAAGTGTTACTGACCATCTCCTTTTCAATGCTCTTGATGTTCTACTGAAGCTAACCTTGTTCTGGCAATATTTATGTTTTTTGCCTGCTCCTGGTGCGTCTCCTCCTATTTCATAGCTTTGCAGACTTCTTAGCTTTTTTCAAAATTAGAGATCCACTCTGAGAGACCAGTCTTCAGCAACAGGTAGGGTCTTAGCTTTTGGTTTTAGCTTTCTAAGCAGGAAAGGGAGGGTCAATGAGCTGAAGATCAAACTCTGTCCCTGCTCTGTACAGTTGTAGCTCTGAAAAAAATATTCTTCTCTTTATTCTGCCCTCTGCAAAGCAAAGCAAGTATCTTATTAAGGGAGAGGGTGGTAATGTGGAATCAGAAAGGACACAGAGTAACACACCTCCCCACCCTTGAGATGTGGAGAAATCTCTCTACAGCCCCCTGTCACAGAGGGAAGACACCTTCTCTTGTAATAGAAAGAACCCTGGAAAAGAAATAAGGGAAGGAAAGTTTGAACATCCATTTGCTACAATGTCTAGAACTCAGGCAAAAATAGTCTGTGCCCATGCAAAAGAGAAACAGACCAAGCAGTCTTGCAAAATCAGGCTAGGTACTCCGGTGTTCACATCTCATGAGCACATGACCAAAATCCCATCTGGGGGGCAGATAGCATGTGTATAGATTTTTCAAGTATGGCTTTTCAAATTTGACACTTACTTTCCAGGAGGCTCAGAGTGTGAGCCAGACTAACTACACAGGCAGAGCATTGAAGAGTGTGGATAGGAGGATACTTTGTCTGGGTGTCAAGCTCAGCTGGCATTTACACTTTCATTTGAACAAGGGAGAGATGTACCTTAGTAAAATCTGAATGAGCACAAGTAAAAAAACCCAGCAACAACTGGTCTACAGCAGTGGTGCTCACAGGTTTAGCCACACAGGCCAGATGAATGGCCTTCACATACCGGGATCAGACACTGTGCCATGTTCTGTGCCCAATGTAGCACACAGGGCCACAGCCTGCAGGGCTCCCCACAAATTAATGGGGAGCCCGACAAGCCGGATGACACGGTGCCAGGAGTTGAGCACCCTTGGTCTAGGATTAGATAAGCACTAGTGGCAACAGGGATTTTGTACCAGATGACTGTAGTTGGTTGTAATGCCAGCTGACTAGTACTGGATGGGTTTTAGTGCCTGAGCTATTTTGGCACCAAAACTGCCAGTTTCAACAGTGCTGCAGGGCTGCCTCAACATGTTGGGGAAAATGGTACTGCTTGACAAGCAGATGGTGCCTTAGTAATGTCCTCCAGCTCCATTGCCTTGGAGATGGTGAAGAGGCCACAGAACCCACTGCAGACCAAGGGACCATGCCTCCTGACCGAAACAGAGAATTGCTTGTTCATTTTACCTCTTATACCCTGATCCAAGGGCTTTGTTGCCAGAGGATGCTGCCAAGATGTCAGCCTTTAAGAACTGCTGAGCTTCTGCAGTAATCCTGCAGGGCCAAGAAGTCTCAGAGGCATCATCCTAATGACACTTTGACAAAAAAGGAAGACAGGCTTCTTTGTTTGCTTTTGGTGATCCCTGGATCTCAACTGAGATGACTGCTGGTTTGCCAACTGCACAGGTATGGAGGAGCAGGCAGAACAGCAGGTGGAATGGCTCTTAGGGATATGACTCCACCAGATGAGAAAAGGACTGCCATCAAATGAAGGAATTGGGCCATTGTGTGAGGAACAGCATGAAGACCAGAGAGCAATGACAGTTCTGGGCAAAGC